ATGAACATCTCTTGCAGCTTCTTTGCAAAAATGCAATCGATTCAATCTCCCCAAGATCCTCACTGCAAACCAGGAAAGACCATAAAGAAATGGCTCCTTTTGGGGGGGGTGCTTGATATTTTTCCTATTTGGAAATTGCCGGTCGTTCTTGGTTGCGTTTATTGTCATAAGGACAAACCCTCCTGAGGGCATATGCCTTTATTTTAGTGAAGGACAGGTTGAAGGTAATCTCTTGGGGAGACAGCAGAAAATAGAATTTGCAAGTGTTGGAAGAAACGTCCCTCTGGGTTCTGTTCCAAGTGGGTAAAAAGAGACTGGAAACATGGAGACTGTTTAGAAAGATGGTTTAATGGTGGACAGGACCACATGGTTTGAGGTCCTGGGCAATTGAGCACATGGGAGAGAGAGAGGGGGGGAGGGAGGGAGAGAGAGAGGGAGGGAGGGAGGGAGAGGGGGGGAGAGAAGGGAGGGAGAAAGAGAGAGAATTATACCCTCTCTTGGGCTTTGACCTTGAGCTTCCTGTTCCTGTGGCAAGGGCTTGTATTCTGATTGGTCGTCAGACTCCCATGGGGTCATGCAGGAGTAACTTTTGTAGGTTGTCTTGAGTCCCAGGCTTGGTTGAATCTTGCTGAGTGATGCAATCTTCCCAGGTGCCATGTGGAGAGATGGGTAGAGGGCTAATCCTATTATGTCTTGAGGGTGAAAATGTTTTTGTTTTGTAGGTAAGCTGGCCCAGTCTTTTGTCTTGTTAGATAGATTGGCACCAAAATATCTGCTGGGGGTGGGTCAGGGAGCTGAGGCTCTGAGTTTATGTCTTTAGAAATATGTTTCTCCTTTAGGGAAAATATAATATTCTGCCTCTTTAATATTTCCTAGTATATTTCATTCTTCTAAGAGAAGGGTGGGTGCTAGCTTTCTACAGAAGTATGATTTTCAAATCAGTACTTCTTCTGAAATCATACAAATTAATCTCATGTAGTCAGATCCATTCTCCTTATACCATGTTTCCCCAAAAATAAGACCTATCCCAAAAATAAATCCTAGACTGATTTTTAAGCATGTGCCTAATATAAGCCCTACCCCCAAAATAAGCCCTAGTGAAGATCGTCATCAGACCGGGGGGGGGAGAGGCATGGCCAGCACAGGAGGCGGCGAGCAGGCAGGGACCGGTGGAGAGAATCAGCCCAGCGGTAGCAGCATTCCCGTCAGCCCCACACTCACCACTTCCTGTATGTGAAAAAAAAAGACATCCCCACAAAATAAACCCTGGTGCTTATTTGCCCCCAAAAATATAAGACCGGGTCTTATTTTCGGAGAAACGTGATGTCTTTGCCCAAAATTATTTTCACCCTAGAAATAGCAGTTGTCCATTTCAGAGGGAAAGTCAAATAATTCTTATATCTGGAGGGTGTTTTTTTTCCCCTCTACTTCCTGGTTTTTTCAAATAAATACTTTGAACTTAAGAGAAGATTTGTTTGGGGGTTGGGAACAACAGTGTATGGGGAAAAGAATTGTACTTTCTCTTTGACTGTGGTCTTGTTAAAAAGAAATTCCCACCCGTAAGATGCTAAGAAAACCTGAGTCAGCACTAACTTGATTTCAGCTGGGCTTCGGGGATGGAAAGAAGAACACGCTTTGATTTGAGGTTGGCTGTTTGAAATTCAAAGGTAATCTGATTTGATTTGATCTGATGTGCTTTGGGATTCAGTTGGAGGGGGAAAATTGGTCCCTAGGCTATAAAGAGAGAACATCAAATCTGTATCGGCTTCATTTATGTTGGCAGAGGTAGATGAAAGCTGTAAAAATCCTATAAAGGACATCAATGATGCCAAAACTCAGCTCAATATCTCCAAGGCTCTGTAGGATTGTTTCTTTTAAGGAAATAAAATAGCGCAGTGATCTTCAAATTGTCTAACAAATATTTTTGGATATAAATCCTCTATTGAAGGATTTCATGCGAACATAAACATATATTTTCCAAAAGCATCCAACAAGTAAGCTCCTGGTTTTTTTCTCTTTTATCTGAGATGCTGTGTTAAGATGATCTTGAAGAATCCTAAAGGTACTTAGATACAGATTAACAGAGTTGAAAGGGACTTTGTAGGTCATCTAGTCCAACCCTCCACCCAAGGAGACCCTACACTATTTCTGACAGATGGCAGTCCAGTCTCTTCTCGAAAGTTTCCAGGGATGAAGCTCCCACAATTCTGGAGGCAACTTCTGTTCCTTTGGTTGATTGCTTTCACTGTCAGAAATTTTTTCCTTATTTCCAGGGTGAATCTCTCCTTGTTCAGTTTCCATCCATTATTCCTTGTCTGGCCTACAGGCACTTTAGAAAATAGCTTGGTCCCCTCCTCTCTGTGGCAGCCCCTCAAATGCTGGAAGACTGCTCTCCTGTCTCCCCTGGTCCTTCTCTTCACTAGACTAGCCAGGCCCAGTTCCTGCAACCGTTCTTCATATGTTTTAGTCTCCAGTCCCCTCGTCATCCTGGTTGCTCTTCTCTATACTTTTTCTAGAGTCTCAACATCTTTTTTATAGTGTGGTGACCAAAACTGGGTGCAGTACTCTAGGTGTGGTCTTACTAAGGTTTTATAGAGTGGTATTAGCCTTGATCTTGATTGTATCCCTCTTTTAATGCAATTTAGGATTGCATTAGCTTTTTTGGCTGCTGCTGCACACTGCTGGCTCATATTCAGCTGGTTGTCCACTAAGACTCCAAGGTCCCTCTCACAGTTACTGCTATTAAGCCTGGTTTCACCCAGTCTATATGTGTACTTTTGGTTTTTCTTGCCTAAGTGTAAGACTTTACATTTCTCTATATTGAATTTCATTTTGTTAGCACTTTTTTCCCCCAAAAGGCAACTGGATTTCCTTAATTTTTTTCCTTGAAGACATTTCACTTCCCATCCAAGAAGCTTCTTCAGTTCTGCTTTGAAATGCCCCACCATTCCGTCAGAACTGAATAAGCTTCTCAGATGAGTAGGGAAACATCTTCAAGGCAAAACCAAGGAAGTCCAGTTGCCTCTTGAAAAAAAGCGACTTTGAGAGCCACCTTGACCTGGATGAGTGAGAATCTTCATAGATGTTGAGTTGCAATTCTGTGGTTTTTCAGAGAACAGTCAAGATTTTTCTGCAGATTTCTGAGGGGTATCATGGAAGGAAGGAAGTTAAACATTCATTCATGGTCCCAACTAAAAAAAACTTTTCCGTTAAGATGTCAGATTCATCTTTATCCTAATTTAGCATTCAGAGGTAAGAGATGGTAGGGGTTTTCCACACCCACATACACACCTGGAATAGGTTAGACACCACAGAAGTTTTGAATTATGTGCTAAACACACTTTTACTATTAAAAAGGGCAGTTGTTTCAAACCTGAACCAATTGTCTCTACTTTCCTTCGTCCAGTACATCCACTTCCCTTTTGTCTCTCATTCCACCCACACAGAGTTGCAGCATTTAACGAGTGACTTAATTTGTTTTATTTTGCAATTTAAGTACAATGATTCAAGGGGAACTCTTGGGCTTTTCTTTGTAGGAGATGACCAGGCTGAGCCAGAGGGAGGGATCAAATGTGTCATCAGTCACGTGTCCCTGAATGTCTGCAAGAGATGAAGAGAATAGAATAGAGAGTAAAGAATTAGAATAGAATAGAATAAAATAAAATAGAATAGAATAGAATGGAATCGAGAATAGAGAATTAGAATAGAATAGTAGAATATCGAGAATAGAGAATTAGAATAGAATAGAGAATTAGAAAAGAATAGAATAGAGAATTAGAATAGAATAGAATCAAGAATAAAGAATTAGAATAAAATAGAATAGAATAGAGAATAGAGAATTAGAATAGGACAGAACAGAATATAGAATACAATATAGACTTGAATTGAATAGAAAATAGAATAGAATCTAGAACAGAACATATAATACAATATAGAATAGAATAGAATAACTAGAATAGAATATAGAACAGAATATAGAATATAATATAACAGAACAGAGGAAAAGTGAATAGAACAGAACAAAATAGAATAGAACAGAATGCAGAACAGAATGCAGAATAGAATGCAGAATAGAATGGAATGGAATACAGAGTTGGAAGGGACCTTGGAGGTCTTCTAGTCCAACCCACTGCTCAGGCAGGAAACCCTAGACCATTTCAGACAAATGGTTGTTCAATCTCTTCTTAAAAACTTCCAGTGTTGGAGTATTTACAGCCCACTGTGAATGCCTTTCTTATCTGCCGCTCATTCCCCTGGACTGTTAGTTGGCAAGATTCTTGTAGAGGGCTTAACCTTAAACCATTATACTCAATTGGACTGTCTGACTTTCCTGATTTCTCCTGTACTTGACATTTGCAGTACAAGCTTTTCTCCCTCTCCCTGGAAAACCCACAAACTGCAGTCTAAAATACAAATTACCTGTTCCCAGGTGCCAGTGAGAGCAAAACACTTCTTGAGTCATGTTATTAATGTTACAACTTACGAACACAATGGAGATCAGAATCCCCATTGTAATATTTATATAGGCAGTCCTCGACTTACAATAGTTCATTTAGTGACCTTTCGAAGTTACAACGGCGCTGAAAAAAGTGATTTAGGACCGGTTTTCATGCTAATGACCTTTGTAGCATCCCCATGGTCACATGATCAAAATTGAGATGCTTGACAAGTACTTTATACTTATGACGGTTGCAGTGTCTTGAGGGGGTCATGCCATCCCCTTTTGCGACCTTCTGACAAGCAAAGTCAATGGGGAAGCCAGATTCACTTAAAAACCATGTGACCCACTTAACAAATGCAATGATTCACTTAACCTACAGTGGCAAGGAAAGTCATAACGTGGCACAAAAATCCCTGAACACATGTCTCACTAAGCAGCATAGGTTTTGGGCTCAATGGTAGTCGTAACTCAAGGACTCCCTGTATATAGTTGTCCTTATCAGGTTGGCTTTCTTGGAACGGTGGAATTAGACGGGTGTGTTTGTCATTTCCGTCTGCAGAAAACAAAGGGAAAAGAAATCCCCTCCATGACTACCAGAAAACAGTCGATACCTCATTAGTAAGGATAGACAAGGCACTGAAAGTGAAAACGAAGCTGCTAAATACGACAGAACAGTGTGCCAAGAGATGCAGCCGAAGTAAAGGACTTTTATTCATTTGCAGGTAAGGAATGTTGCATTTGGGGGGGGAGGGGGGGATCTAATGGTTCTGCTTTTTGTTGTGGTTCACCAGCAGCCTGTGGAGATGGCAGCAGAGTCAGACAGTGGGGAGGAACATGGGCCAGTATGGGAGTCTGGGGAGGACTCGGATGAGGGTCCTGCATACAATGCAGGGATGGGGCCAGGGCCATCTGGGAGTTATGTGCTGACTCCGGAGCCTTCAGAATCTGGCAGCAGTGAGGAAGAGGAACAAAGGGAGCCTGTTCCCAGTGTGTACTTGCGCAGAGCTGCTAGAAGGCAAGAACAGCTAAGACAAAAGGGGCAACTCTCCTTACCACAAGACCCACCAGAAGACTCTCACTGATGACTCACATCTGACCCATCACAAGACCCTCACTTGACACACCCACACCTGAAGCTTGACGTGACCCACTACAAGACCTGCCACAAGACCCTCACTTGATGTGACCCACACCTGACCTATCGCAAGACCATCACTTGATGTGACCAACACAAGACCCATCTCTAGATTCTCACTTGATGTCAGCATTCCAACTAACCAACTCCATACCAATAAACTCTGAGACATCAATCAGTCCCTCAAAGTTCCATTTTATCAGAGTTGGCACATCTGGGAAAACCCAAATCTGATAGTTCCGGGTTTTCCCTTCCCAAAAGGGAAATCAAAGATCCATCCCCTGCGCCCATTAGTCCATCACATGGCCCAATCAAATCTTTGTCCCAACTGGAGACATCCCTCCAGTCACTCCCCTCCAGGTGCAGGGCAACATGTCCTTGACTTTCTGAGAAAGAATGTTGTTGTGTCTCATCTTGTACCCCACTGTGAAATTCCCCCCTCCCAAATTCCCAGACACTGAATGTGGCAGTCTCAAAGCTTCCAAGTAAAATATGGCTTCCAAGCCCGACACTTGATATGATCCTCCCATCACAAAACCTACTCATTGCATGAAGCCCTTATAAGCAGAAGAACACCGACATCCCCTAAACTCCAATGAAGATGTTACCTAGCTTGGTAACGAAATGTTCAGAAATCAACCCACAAGCTTGGAGAACAAACTTCCACCCTCAAAGCTATCTTGTGTGTGTGTTTGTGTGTGTGTGTAGTGGGACAACTCTTGGATTTTCAAGATCTCAGAGCAATGTTTGTTCCCTTGCATGGAGTGTTGGAAATGTTGGGTTTTCAAGTGTTTCGTGGTGAAAAATGAAAACGAAGCGCATAGCTTTGTTCTGAAAAAAAAAATCCACTGGAAGTTAACAAAACTCTTTGCTTATAGTATTGACTTCATGAGGGGGTGGATAAAAAGCTTGAGATTCTCCAACTTTCTTGAGTATGACAGATTCTGGGCTACATCTAGAAGTTGTTTGTGATGTAACTGATACTTAATTGGTTGAGACTCCAGAGAAGTGAAGAATAATAAGACTCTACCAATTGTTGGTAACATTTTCTACTCCCACACAGCTTACTCTTGTGCAGAATTTCTTAAAACAAAAAAAAACAACCTATTTCCTTTCCATGTAAACATTTTTGGAATCAAACTCAAAACTCCTGATGATAAATCACTACGACCTCCCCTGCTCATAAATTATATTCTCATCAGCACAGTCCTTCCTACTGGGTCCAGCTGGACGGAAGCCCAACAAAAAAGCTTGTTTACATTCTTCAAGTTGTGTTTTCTCAGTCTATTAGGTGCAACATCTTTTATCAAAGAAAGTAGGCTTCAGGCTGCTATCATCGGCTGAGCAAAGCGATGATGGATCTGGAATTACTTGGCCTACCGTAACTTTTCCAGATATTTTGAACACAGCAAAATCTTATTGGCCTAGTAAGATCCTACATTTATCTGTATCAAACTTGACTCACAATGAAAATGCTAATCTTCTTGAGTCAAGAGGAAGAGGGAGAAGGGGCAGAAGGGAGAAAGGAGGAGGAGGAGAAAAGAGAAGTGGAAGAGGAAAAGGAAAAGGAAAAGGAAGAAGAGGGAGAAGGGAGAAGGGAGA